TAGTACGCCCATGATAGCTCGGTGCCACTCTTCAAAATCTCTTTCATCGGTAAGCACAGTCCTGATCTTGTAGAGGGCTTCCACATAGAGATCATGTCGACCGCCGTCTCTTCTTTTACCCTGTAGGCTCAACACAAGGTTGTCGCCGACCCTATGTTTGGTAACTGGAAAACAACCCTGCAAACAGAGACCAAACATTAAGAAACGAACTTGGGAAAATACCGCTAGTATTGAGTCTCCATGGCCGTGACTGAAGTCTGGATCTTAATCCAAGCCCGGCCCGATTACCCCGGGATGGGTCGTGGGGGTGCCCGCGTGGGGGCACGTTGCTGCGCCCCTCCGACCCCCGGGGGGCCCCAGGTTTTGATTGCAAATCCCGATATGCCGAACTTTTTTTTTAAATTGGATTCGGGCAATTGTTGAGATGCTCTTCCGAGTGGGACTAACTGGAAGTGTGACAACTCAGGGCAAATAGCTCCCTACTTACATTGCCACTGTCCATGATATCGTCATTGGGGCCTGTCCAGCTTCACCAGGTCAATGGCTTCGGCATCATTCTCCACACAGTCCACGTGGTGCGTTTTTTAACTCTCGTTTTAGATTGCCCTTTTAAGAGGGCCAAGTGCCCTGGTTCGGAACCATTCAGGATCTAGAATCGTGGGGGAGGCAGTTTCAACCCTTGGCGCGCTCTTTTCGGCCCGCTGCCATCGCTTAGGATTGGGGTAAACTAAGTTCCCGCCGAAGTTTAGTAGGTAAGTTCTACGGCTCGGTGAGCGCGGGGGACTGAATTGTGGCGTGTATCGGGTGTTTCTACTCCGTAATAAGGTTATATTTTCGGCAAACCCAGGCAGAGAAGGGCATATGGCCTTCAGCTCTAGAGGTCAATGCCATACTGAGTACTTCTAAGTTAAAAAAAGTTGTCTCATACATAAGAAGATCAACCAATCTTAAAATGGAAAAAGATTGACATTGAGATAGTACGAGGATCAGGAAATACTTAAGTAAGAGCCAACTGATTTTTTCTCCCACAGAACTGCGGATATGAACTTTTTACATTAGGGTTGTCGAAGGCGCTAGTGAGAGGACATTTAGTCACCTATGCACCTGGTCTAGAGAATGTTGAAAGGGAGATAGTTAAAAACCTACCGTGCCGACAGTCGAACTCTGGGTAAGACAGCCTTGGGGTCGGACTAGAGTACGAGTTAAGTCTAGCTCCCCGTGACAGCCTAAATTATATTGGAAGCCCGAATCCACACCGGGAATACATACCGAAGGCAAACGGGCAAACCGAATCATATATCAGATCGTTAAAAAATGCTCCTGAGGTCCACGTATTAGCTCAAATTCCCTATATGTAGATTTCTCAGGAAGTACTTCTCAACCTCCCAAATCAGAAGTAGAATTCTGTGATTCATGTCCCCATACTTAAGTATGAAAGGATTGGTCTTGGCGAATCGAAATTTTTTTGGGCGCAGAGTGCCGAGCACCTGGGCATATATTTGACTTCTTGGCTACACAAACACTAAACAGCCAAGATGCCAAGTACCAATCTCCGTGATGACCCCCGCTTCATATACTTTTTGCTTTCGTGGGGGCGGGGTGGATGGACGTAAAACAATACCGGGGGTGTGGGGGAGCAGAGCAGGATCTACTATTTAAGTAAAGGACTTTGTAGACAGGTTATGTCGTACGCCCTGGAGACTGCAGCTCAACTTCAGACGCAATGCCGGACGATATCTCCCGAGCCAAAAATGATCCCATCGAAGTCGATGAGAAAAAAGAGGTAGTTGATCATTTCGAGCATACTGCTTCAACACCCACACAACATGGCCTTCCCTACATTGATCCTGCTCGCCGAGCTATTGTTGAGAAAAGCCTCAAGCGCAAGCTTGATGCGCGGTGCAGCTTATTCGTTCTTATCTATATTATGAACTACCTTGACCGCAACAACATCGCTGCCGCACGCCTAAAGGGTCTGCAGGATGACCTCAAACTCGACGACACACAGTATGCGACATGCCTCAGTATTCTATACGTCGGGTATATTCTCATGCAGGTCCCTTCCAACATGTTTATCAACCGCATTCAGCGGCCGTCACTATACATTTCTGTGGCGATGTTGCTTTGGGGCTTGATTTCGACATTATCCGGAAATGCGAAAAACTTTGGGCATATGGTTGCAATTCGATTCCTCCTGGGCTTTATCGAAGCTGCATTCCTCCCCGGCGCACTACTTATCCTCTCCAAGTGGTATACGCGCCGTGAGCTAACGACTCGGAACGCTATATTATTCTGTGGCAATCTCATCTCAAACGCCTTCTCTGCGCTCGTTGCTGCTGGTGTCCTATCCAACATGCAAGGTATATTGGGTCATGCCGCTTGGCGATGGCTATTTTGGATTGAGGGAGCTATTACCATGGCCATCGCTGTAGTAGCTGCATTTATGCTACCCGATCTGCCTCATAATGCCCGCGGTTTCACAGAGGAAGAGCGCCAGGTCGCGCAGTTGCGCATGATTGAAGATGTCGGCGAAGCAGATACCGACTCCGCAGATCAGGGACCATTTGATGGACTTATGATGGCTTTGAAGGATCTTAAGATTTACTTGATGATGTTGACTTTTACGGCCTATGTCGTGGGCTTGTCATTCAACGCGTTTTTCGTAAGTTGGCAATGTACAGTGAGGCATCGAAGGTTCGTACTGACCAGCTTTTAGCCCACACTCACAGGCACCCTTGGGTTCTCATACGTTCCTACGCTGCTTATGAGCGCTCCACCATGGGCTTTCTCTTGTATTTTCTCCGTTCTAAATGCGTGGCATGCCGATCGGACACAGGAGAAGGTAAGTCTTTCCATTCACTGGTAGGGAGTTCGGATGACAAGGTTGACTCATGGTGTGAACAGATCTGGCATATCATGGGACCTATAGCCATGGGAACCATTGGCTTCGTCATTAGCATGTCTACTCTGAATGTCTCCGCTCGATATATCGCCCTATTCCTACAAGCTGGCTCTTACGCAGGATTCATCGTGTTTTACTCGTGGATCAGCTCTTCGTTCCCTCGCCCTCCAGCCAAGCGTGCTGTTGCCATTGCATTGATCAACGCCTTCAGTCAACTTGGCAATGTTGCCGGCTCGTATGTGTGGGCTTTGAAGGATAACGGGTATCGCAAGAGCTATGGAATTGTGTTGGCCATGTTTGGCGTCACGGTTATGGGATGTTGGGCCTTCCGGTTTATGCTTGTCGGCTTGAATAAGAGACTTGAGGCTGCGGAAGTCGAATGGGATGCTCGTGAAGATGCTGGGGAGCAGACGAGACAGATCGAGATCATGGAGAGTCCAGATGAGGCACTCCGGATGAGAAAGGGCTTCAGATATCTGATCTAGGAGCTGTCAGTCTATGTGGATTATTATCTCTATGTTGCAGGTTGTTATTATAGTTATAGACTTGAATGTATCTTCGGGCTATATGATGATAAATTGTGTATATGATACAGATACTTCGCTTCCAGCCCTGGTGGTGAGTGATCCCAGCATATGAATATGACTTCCAAGCCCCTGATTTAATATTCTGGGTATCTGAGTAGGCCCATGTCTACTAGAAAAAAACTCCATTTTCGCCTCCCTTGCAGAGTACTAGATTTGCCGATGGGCTCTAATTCTGTTTCTGGTGGTCATCGCAAACCCCTAGAACTTAGGAAACATATGTCCCTTTTAAGGCCCAAAAGCGGAAGGAGTCAAGTTCGCAGGAAGTAGTATAGGCGAGCTGTCCAATCTGATTTCTTTCCTCCAAAGCAGATATGTCGAAACCGGGCTTTGACTGAAAAAAAAAGATATTCCAACCCAGACTCCATATTGCCTAATCGGGCGATATTTGCGATCCAGCCAATCACTGTCTACCAGACCTACCAGAGCTGATATAAAATCCTCACCATCCACCTCCTTCGTCTGATTCTCTTCTTCAACCTCTTAAACTTGTATTCCTTGAACAGACAAAATGGTCGGAATTACCACCTTCGCCGTTGAAGAAGTAAGTCCAAAGTACAACCATCCAGCCTTAAACTAACATACCAAGTGGATGGACACGTACGAAACAACCGCAAAGCACAATCTCGCCGAGACATGCAGCGCCTCCATCTCTCTCAATGATCTTCTGACCCTCGCGCCGAAAGAGAGCCTCATAGATTTCTCACAGAAGCAGGTCTACGGCGCAATCAGAGGCACAGAAGCATTGAGGACTAATATTGCAAACTTGTATTCACCAGTTGGCAAGATATCTACAGAGGATGTACTTGTTACAAATGGTGCTATCCAGGCTAATTTCTTGTCCCTTTATACCAATGTTGGGCCGGGTGATCATGTTATTTGTCAATATCCGACGTATCAGCAGCTGTACTCTGTGCCTGAGTCTTTTGGGGCGGAGGTTAGTCTTTGGAAGTCGGAGGAGGGGAGTGGGTGGGGAATGGATTTGGAGAAGTTGATGGGTTTGGTGAAATCGAATACGAAAATGATCATTTTGAAGTATGTCTATTTCTGTCGTGAGTCGATTGGAAAATCTAACGTTGACATAGCAACCCCCAGAATCCTACCGGGGCAGTTCTTCGGCGTGAGGAATTGCAGGCGATTGTTGACATTGCACGGGAGCACGATATCATGATTCATTCTGATGAGGTTTATCGACCTCTTTTCCATTCGCTCGACCCAGAGCAGGATACACCTCCTTCTATCCTAGAATTTGGATATGAGAAGGTTCTTGCAACGGGCTCTATGTCCAAGGCTTTTAGCTTGGCTGGAATCCGCCTCGGCTGGATTGCTTCCCCAAGCAATAAAATCATCGAGGCTTGTGCCGCGACTCGTCATTTCACTTTGATTTCGGTGGGACAGATTGATGATAGGGTGGCAACGCATGCGCTATCTCGCCCGTGTGTGGATAATCTGCTGCAGCGCAATGTCCAGCTGGCAAGACAGAATCTCGCTGCATTGAATGCTTTCGTCAACGAGTTTAGCTGGGCTGTTGAATGGACGAGACCCAAGGCGGGAACTACTGCATTCATCAAGTTTGTCAACAGGCAGGGAAAGGCCATTGACGATGTCGAGTTTTGCAAGACACTCCAGGAGAAGACTGGAGTCATGCTTGTCCCTGGAAGCAAATGCTTCGGCGGAGATGTTGACTTCCGTGGATATGTGAGGATGGGTTATGTACCCGACAACCAATCCATGGTCAATGGTCTCAAGGAGTTGAGGCAATTCATGGTCGATGAGTATGAGATGTTGCCTCTGGCTCATTGAGGTACATCTAGAATAGAACCAATTCCAACCCAAGATTTGCAAAGTAATTATCCCAAGGCATTGGCGTGTTTGCAGCCCAGAATTTGCTTAGAAGCTCTCGGGCTCTTGTGAAGTTGCCGAGTCCATGACTTTGCATATCGCCCATTCGGGTGTGGATAAATTTGCGCTCTTCGATATCGTCGGTCTCAGAGCCAGCACTGAACACTGGCCATAAGATCAAGATATTTGCGAACGAAAAGGGGGGAATATTCTTGACTGCTTTTATGATATTTGAGAGATCCGTCTTCACGATCTCATGATCTTTGGGGACCAATTGGACGCGTCGATGGAGATGCAAAAGCGCGGAATGTACAAAGGCCAAATGGGTATTTTGCAGCTCGTCGTGATGTTGATTCTCAGGCACACTGCAATCAACCAGAGCAAGAATCTCGAGCTCAAGTACCTGCGACTCAAAGATCACTTCGTCGGACATTTCGGGCGAGTTCTGATGCTGACGTTGTACCAATTGAGATAAACGAACCAGCAGTGGAGCCAGTTTGAAGGAGTATCCACATATATCATCGACTTGCGCATCCAGACGAGTAAAGACTTTTTCAAACACCCCATTTTCAAAACTCAACGTTTCGCTATCGCTGTGTCCGGACAGTCCAGCGATGACATCCATGGTCGTAAACCACTTTGCCAAGCACTGGACATAAGGGTCATCGACGCAGATTTGGCCTTGGCTGTCCAGCAATGCAGCAAACAGACGCATCACCCCGCCGAGATGAGTTCTCCAAGACTGCATGTTCCCGTTGCAAACATCATTGGTGCATAAAGCCATTGCAGTGGTGACGGTCTCGGCAGTCAATGTCGCATCCCGATCACTGAGGGCCGAGCGCAAGCTGGAGATTGAGAGATTCGTAAATTTCAAGCAGGCCAATTTGGAATTCGCCCCAGTGTCTTTGATAAGTCGACTGTGATGGCTACATGCCGATGCCAAGATAGCATAGAGAAGATGGGGTGTCTCCAAAGAACCTGCAATCAGCCGCTGCAGGAAAAGTGGAGAAGCTGCGGGAAACAGACGGGGCGCAGTTTCGATGCTGAAGATGTGCATAAAAAACCGCGACTCCTTTGAGGATAGCAATGGCGACAGACACAGAACAGGCTCGGTTGGAAGAGCATTCATGGCCTGGTGGAGCTGCAGTACAGGCAGATGGTCCGTCGCAGGCTGTACCTGAGTGGCCAGATTTTGGCTGACCATATGAATATCATATTTACATAGCCTTGGGAAGCGAATGCAGCGTGTGCAGACCGGCTTTTGTATATCACACTAAACCGTATTAGTAGAGTGATGGGTGTATGGCGGAGTCGATCTCACCTTTACTTTTTTCCTCCGACACTCTGAGCACCCATCGCGTCTTCTTTGGGCAGGGCCATCCTTTCTGCGAGGACTCGGCATAACCTGAGCTTTGATACAGAAGTCATGGAGAAGTGAGGGGTGATGAGAGGATCGGAAGAGAAAATGAGTGTCCCACATTTCTGACTTGGGTGAAGTATCCGATCCAGCCAATTAGATTACACTTAGTATATCAAGGTCCCACAGTCCAACAGAACATCAGAACTTCATTTCCTCTGCCGACGAAGGGAATTCTGTGGAGAACTCATTGGTGTGATCCCCGGCTCAGACCGCCAGGTGTAGATAGATGTGTGTTTGTCCTCTCTCTCTCTCTCTCTCTTCTTTCTCTCCAGTTCCAGTCTGGCAGAGCAACATGGGGAAGGTCACTTGACCACGAACTGACCCACATGTTGGCCGAATCTTGCAACCACTGAATGCTCATCTCCGCATTTCACCATTTCATCTCTCAAAATGTCAAAGTCACCGATTGGGGTTGTATAGCCGACTATTTCATCCATCTTTTGAAGTCGTCACAATGCTTTCGCACCCGGTACTCGAACTTATCCCATACAGCCAGAGGAAGCAGACAAGATTCCCCCGGATCACCCCAAAAAAAGTCCAATTCGACAAAGTGATTCATGAGGGGGGGGGGGGGGGGGGGGAAAAAAAAAAAAAAAAAAAAAAAAAAAAAAAAAAAAAAAAGATGAATGACATTGAAGTTTCCCTGCGGGGCCTGACAACTCTTCCACATGTGAATTGTAGACGAAAAGCACGGAGTACTTCAAAGAGTTGTCGTTATAGTAGCTTTGTCTATTACTCGGAAAATTCCTCCTGTAGATTTGCCCGCTTCGAAAAAAACCCAGGGTTGTCTTCGACGATAAAATCCCTTTCAATTTCCGGTATTGGGAGCACGGGAGATCGATAATCACAACGTATTGCTATTGCGGAGGCTGAGGGCCGGCAGAGAGAATCGAGAGACAGAAAGAGCAAACTTGTATCTACGTAGTAGTTTGGACATGGCAGTCTGAGCCCTGAGATAGGTTATCCCAACATACGTGGCCTGGATTACTGTCCCCATTGGGCCCCTGGAACAGGTATATGCCAGAATCTATAGAGAGCTTCAACATAACCGGCATAGATACAGAGTTAAACCACTTACTGGATGAATCTGTGATTGAGTGAATGGTTCGTGATTTATCCGAAAAAGAATTGTACTCACGATAATGGTGAGCTCATCTCTCGCCAGGCCTCTGTCTGAAGTACATGTCGTATAAACAACAGTGGTAAATGTAATGATCAGATCTATAGATGATTTACTTTCGATCCTGAAATGAGATGAAGTTGCCCTCCATGACTTGACGACTCTTCCGAATACCGGCTGCCATATAGACTGTAGACCAAAATACCGGGGTATTTTTCACGGGGTTGGCCGCTGTACTTGGCTAATATTCTCTATTACTTGGAATTGAATGTGGATAATCTTTGTGGCTGTGGATGAATCCCTACATTCCATTCAGGACCAGAGAGTACGGAGTACTCGCAGTACAAGCAAAAAGCGGTGGTGTCAATACTAATTGTCAAGATTTATCCAGCCAGCCCTGACTCACAGAGGTTCTTGTTTGATTGAACAACCGACCCGGCTGTCGCGGAGTTGTCGAGGTCCCAAAGTCAGGCTTGGCCCAGGTGTCGGCACTACATAAGGGACCCATAGCAAACACCCAGGTATTTTAACATACGCCTTCAGTACCTAGGTAGGCATAGCCTAAAGCAAGAGAAAGAATCAAACTAAGGATGCGAAACCAAGAATAGGTTGTAAATTTAGATTCTAAAGTTCTTTGGCCCCTCTCTTTGATCCGCAAACTCTTTGAAAGCTGACAATTGCATTGTGAAGAACAACTCTTTGTACCAAACGCTGAAAGGTCATTTTACGTATCTAAAATATTGCAAGCTATACCTGTAGAACTTGAAACCTAACGTTTTAAACAGGCAGAGTTCCCCGTTGAGACCTGAATATATTACATTGATAAATTTGAAGCAAGCGAACTTGAGAACAATATTGCAAGGTCGCGCCCAGACTACCGTTGCCATTGCCTAGGCCAAACTATATACTGCTTCCCGAGGTCCCAGAAACCGATCAAATGTCCTTTTATATAAATTTTCAAAACGGTTTAGGCGTTGACGTACGTCCCAACGCATACTGGGCGAACATAGTGTTCCAATGGGGAGATCATCATCTAATGCGCACTGACGGTGCAGTGATGGCCCGAGTCATCGAACGGCTCAAAGAGGGCAGATTCAACTTCGCAGATGTGCCCTGGGATATGGAAATCAGATGGTGCATTTCACTCCCAGTCTCCGGGGAGCATGTTAACGATGAAAACAGAACCGAGGACGCGAAACAATTAGCAGAGTGGTACCTGGAACAAATTCGTCTTGGCAATGCCACTGTCAACAGAGATCTCCTATTTGATACAAAGCCCTACCATTCAGGTAAGAATTGTTGTAGAGGTACTACCTGCGATCGAATTTTACACCCGGATCAGTATGCACCACTTGGTTCTGAGTTGAACAAAGCCACTAAAAGTTCCTATAGTAGATCAGAGGTTAAGAGACCGTCTCGTCGGAAGTCCAGACTCCACAAATAATATCATCGACTCTGTGTGAAATTTTCGTTGGGTGAACTCTGGGGCAAATAGATAGCCCATTCGAGATTCCAGCCAAGGCTGTGGATTCAAGAGATGTTTGAGCCTCATCCACGTGGCACAAGCCCTAGCCACATTCCAAATGGCTCCTACTAGTACTGCTAGAGGTTAGGCCAAGAGCTAAGACAAAGAAAAACAAGAAAAACGGCCTAAGAAACAATGGAAAAGGGAAAAAGGGAAAAAGAAAGCCGAACCCCCGCCCCAACCGACACCAAGGTCCCACTCGTACATTGTCAGGAACTGCCCGTACTTTGAGAATTTTTCATTAGCATCACATAATTTTTATATTCAAGGTTCGATCTGTGTGTCTCATATACTTCTATGTATTTCAGCATAAATAGACTTCAGGATTAGGTCAAGGGTGACCAACACCAGGTGGTAAAACACGTAGAAAGACATTTACGCAAATAGCGGCACCACATTCTCTCGTACGAGTCGGTTAAAGACAGTCTTTCGTCAATTCTCCCGCGCTAAATTATTACCCAGGACGCAAATAATACCGATACAAAGCTCTTGCGCTATCGAAATTCAATTGAAAAATTGACATGCGTGCCATGGAACGAGATGGGATGACAGGCTCGACGACAGGATGATTAGGGTTGGGTGGCCTTATTTCGTAAAGATCAGCGTGCCCGAGGCAGTTGGGACATCCGCGGAAGCCGAGTTACCCAAGTGGGTAGGAGACTTGGACACCTGCTCGCATGGAGAAATGCCGTTGAAGAGATGGTGTGGGTCATGGTTCGACTCGAGGCTAATTTCAGTACCTGACTCAGGGAATTGGCTAAGACTAACACGGTGTGGTTTCTTTGAGAAGACGTATCTGGTAGTAGTAAAAGAGGAAAAGAACGGCTGTTCATGTGGGGTCTTGCTTGTCATTCCACTCGAGATTGATAAATGCCCGAAGGCAAAGACAACCGAGACAATTTTGTTGCTCCACCGAAGATCCACGGCAGAGGTGGTGGAGAACTCTACTCGTAAGTACGCGGCTGAAGTGAGGTCGCACTACCATTCAATTTACAATGTTCGCTTAAATTTTAATACTCGGGAGACTCGTGTTCATTAACTTTATATTGCATAGCTGAACTTTGACGCAGTTCATAGATCTGAGCGTATGTTAGCGGGGAAATCCTGGAAATCTAGAAGCGAATGCTTGCATTAGATAGATGAACCTAGATTTCAGGGGTACGCATTCCCGATGCATTGACCGCCATCGAACCCTGGGATGTTGTTGGAGCCTTGTTCGGGGTTAATTGGGGCATGTTCTTGAGGATCTTCCGGGATAAGCTACCCATTGCTTCCATGATCGGCCGGACAGACAGGCAATAGTCTATTAAACTAAGAACTAGTGATATCCTTCCATGGCAAGATCAGCTGGGAAGAATTAGCCATACTCATCGTGTATATGCTCTGAAAACCAACAACATCCAATCCCAGACATATGACGCTGTAGCGTTCCAAATTGGTGGCGCTGCGAACCAATGGATTTGGAATCCGCTTGGACAGCTCGCATCTGTTTCGATGGTTTCCGCTCCACTCGATCGGACTAGGCCGCTTTCTTGTCGCCAATTAAGCCTTTTTGTTCCTGTTGCACGACCCTCGGCCCCCCACTACTTCTGTAATGCATTTGTGAATGGCAAACGCGATTCGCACTGGAAACGGGGACCTCCGCTCTAAGCCTCGGAGGTGAAAATGAATGTCCAGTATATAAATTGCGTGGCTGCTCGAGGCCCTCCCCGTAGGGTTTCCCCAAAATGGGTCCTGTCATTCAGTCTTTACCTGCCAGTCTTGTCGCTCCTTAGATCATGGGTCTTCATGAGAGATTCCCTGCATACGGGGGCCGCGGGCCTTCCGACCTTCGTTTGGGTATTGCTCTAGGCGTTGTCGCTACTATTTTCATGGCCTTGCGCGTGTATGTTCGCCTTCGAATGAACAAATTTGGAACCAGTTCCTTGATATGGGCTCTCATCGCTTGGGTATGACACCTACAGATATTATTTCTTCTAGTTGTACTAACTCTGCGCCAGTTCTTCACCACGCTCACACAAATCTTCGGTATTATATCCGTGCTTCATGGCCTGGGAAATCACATCACGGTCGTTGAGGAAGTTGGCGAACTACACAATTTCCTGTTGTTCACATGGATCACGGTCTTCTTCTTTAACTTAGCTATTCCGACCGGCAAGGTTGCAGTGGCAGCATTCCTGATTGAAATGAACTCACAGAGCAGTACGTATAGTTGTGCTTTGCGTATGACAATCCCCAACTGACAATATCTTCTCACAGACCCTAAGATCCGACGCAGTCTTATCATCGTCGCCGGCTTGAACATTCTTTTCAATATTCCGCAATGTTTACTCGTTTGGTTCCAATGCAGCCCTCCCAGTGCGCTTTGGGATCCTCTTCGACAAGCACAGTGCGATCATGGAAAGAGCGTATACTACACTTACTTCGTGGGTGCTGTGGCTGCCATCTCCGACTTCTACCTCGCCATCATCCCCATCACCATGTTAGTCCCCTTGCGCATTGATCGCAAGCTCAAATGGGGTTTGAGTTTCCTCATGGGATGTGGTGTTTTTGCCGGAGCTGCAGCAATTGTCAGAACCTGGGCAGCCAAGTTCATCATGACAGATGACTCCTCGTGTAAGTACCTGAAAGCTTGTCCCCTGTGCATTTTGGGGTACAGTCACTAACCTACCGCAGATGGTGTTGGTGTCCTATTCCGCTGGGGTGAAGTTGAGGAATGGATTGTGCTCATCACCATGTCGATCCCACCTGTCTGGCCACTCTTCCGACCTCTCACTCACCGATTCATCAAATCCACGAACAACCGCAGTCAACCCCAATACAAGCTGTACAACGAGTACGGTCAATTCGCTTCGACTACTCGAGCCACGCAATCAGTTGCTCCCCCGATCGTCACAACCACCATCTCCATTTCATCGATGAAAGGCCGCGAGACATCGGCCGATACCGCAGACGCCTCATCTTGCGGATCTCTCTCTCGATTCGGAGAAGACGAACCCGAGACTTCGCATACCATCCTCAGTCACAATGGAGACCCAGAAGGGTGGGTGGAGATGAAGCATATCAAGGAGCCACGCACTTGAATATGTCTACTTCTAAAGTTTACGTTTTTCATGCCTTACATTCTTTATAATTGATTTCTGACGACCCACATATATATACCAAATACCATTTTCTGTCAATCTTACCACAGCCACCTGGGCCTCAGTCTGAATATATACATTTGGTTTTGGGGCATCACAGTCGCGAGGTCAAGCCAAATAGCCCCCACACAGCGATCAACACTCCACTCATAGCTCGGAACACGCCGCCACCCGCTACTCCTTCCCGCCAGCAGACGTAGCCGTCGATTATACCCACATACCACAGTACCGAGAGAATGGTATCAAACTCGACCAACTTGCCTCGCGCATAGAGGGTGGTCAGTGCCAGTCCAATGGCTGTGCCGCGCCCCGCACTGGTCATCATGAGGGACTGGGCGGGCTTGGAGATCGCAGCCTGGTTTGGGAGAGCCGAATTCTCGTATGGAGAACTCTGCGTCGAAAAAGGGCATCAGTCCACCCAGGGTCAGTGCGACTGTGACGAGCAGCGGTGGGATGTGGGTGATTGCAAAGTGGTCTAGCATGCTGATTGGTGGCTTGGTGGTGGAAGGACGATCGTGGAATCTCTGGATCGTGACAAGGAAGCTTGCAGATGTATGAGTGCATCTACTCGTATAGATGAGTTGGACCTCGAGAATAATGGGCTTTGTGATCTATGTATTGACAATTCACCGCTCAGATGTCTCACGCCAAGCTTCTATGCAGATCAGTTGATGGGTAGAAGTCCATCTCAAAATTTCAGCCCAAGCCTGCATGGTTCATTTGTTCCAATGAAGAACGGGGGGACAGGGTAAGGATTACCGGTCCGAAGGACTACGAGTATTTCAATTACTTAAGAAAGCTTAGCCTCGGTCAATCCAAGCAGAATGATGTGACTGAAGATACATAGCTGAGTAGAAGACCTGGATCCTAGCCCCATCCCTAAGCCCATACCTTTGGAAAAAGTCAAGTGTCGATCTGAAACTAGGAGTATTGGTGCAATCAAGAACAGTAGACATCCATGGATGTTAATATATAAAGTGGCCATGATTCATCAAGTACCAACCCTGAGGCTGCCCAGGTGAAATTATATGCAAGACAGCCCAAACAATAAATGGTCAAACAACCTAAGAAATCGACATTAAACCCGCAAACGAAGCGGGCATTTCACTGAGCCAAATGCCGACGACTATTCACTAATCGCGACATCGGGTCTATAGATATCTTCAACGCCGTTCTGTATTTACCAACGGAATACTTTTCATAACTCGACACGCCAAATGTCATGACAAGCTCACACAAGCAAGTAGCCGAGCTGACCACTTGATTGTTTGTAACCATTTAGAAGCAGAAGACCTGGTCCTCGAGCTTGCTGACAGGGCGGGCCTTGGTGTAACCAAGAGCCTCGGTAGACTTCTTCATGGCGCTGATCATGGGAGGAGGACCGCAGAGAAGAATCTTGACATCGGCAGCGGGGGCGGGCAGGCGCTCCTAAAAAACTCGCGTTAATGACATACGTAAACAAGGACAACCACAGCAAACATACCTTGATCATCTCAGGGGTGACGAAGCCGACACCACCGGTCCAGCCCTCGGGTGGGTTGTTGAGGACATAGTAGACGCGGAATCCATCGTCCTCCTTCTCCAGCTGCTCGAGCTGGTCACGGAGCAGGATGTCCTCGGGGTTGACGTTGGCGAAGATGAGGTCGACCTTGGTGGTGTCGTTACCGCCGTTGCGGGGACGGTTGCGGATGATAGCCTTGATGACCTGCAGCATGGGGGTGATACCGGTGCCACCAGAGATCATACCAATGTGACGGCACATGTTAGGGGTGTAGACCATGGCGCCCTTGGGGCCGCGGACCTTGAGGTTGTCGCCGATCTTCAAGGTGGTCAGGTACTTGGAGATGTTACCCTGAGGGTAGGCCTTGACGAGCAGGTCAAAGTAACCAGCCTCGTTGTCAGACGAAATGGGGGTGTATGAGCGGACAACCTCCTTAGGCTGACCCTCAATGGTGGCGGCGAGGGAGATGTGCTGGCCGATGGGCAGACCGAGAATGTCGGTGGGACGGGGCAGGGCAAAGCGGTAGATGGCGACATTGTGGGAGATCTCATTCTTCTCCTTAAGCACGAAGTTCTGGAACTCGGTGGGGTTCAGGACCTTGCGAGGCTCTGCGATCACGATCAGATTAGATGAAACTCTGATAGGGAAAGCATTGACGTACTATTGCTGAACACCAAGTATCCTGCGAGAATACCGGCGACTGCGACGGCGTAGGTTACGAATTCAGGCTTGATGGCGTAGACAGCTGCGACGAGCAAGGCCGAGGGCGCGAGGGCCGTGCCGATGTTGGCGGCACTGGAAAATCAGCGATTGCCTAGGAGATTCGGAGATTCCGAAGGGACCTACCTCATGGTGTATATGGTAATTGAAAATCGAACTGTAACGACAACGAGAGAAGAAAAAAAAGGAGGGGGGAGAGATATTAAAGAGAAGAGAAGAGGGTGTGAGGGGAAAAAAAGAAGAGACCGCCCAACGGAATTTCCCACCTTTTGGGGTCACGATTTCCGCGGATCGGCAACTGTTCTTTACTGTGTTTGTTGATTCTATCTTACGGAGTATACTATATAGTCTCTATACACAATGTCCGCTCCAGCATTCAATCTCACTCCTCTCGATCATCAGCTTCTGGCTATGACCGATGAGGAGTTTGTTTACCACGACTGGTCCGAATTGAAGGACATCATCGGTGAGCTGCCAAAAGGCCCCCCATTTCCATTCTCCATTCCCCAATTCCCCCCGCTCGACATTCCCCTCATGCATATAGAAAGTGATATATTTATCTCATTCTAGCGCGAAATGATCTCGGCGCCCTCAAACGGAAGCCCTCCGATCTGCGCCGATACCTGGCCTGGTCAGCGGAGACCAAATCTCAGTATGGCTCCATCATGAACTACATCTGTCAGCGGCGGCTACAGTGGCCATCACCGGGTCCTGCAAGCGGCACTGAGTCGGCTATCCAGCCCCCGCCCGTGGTCAAAAACCCGCGCCCCTTTGCCGATCCCGAGGACTACAAGATCCTCCGCAATGACTGGCCTTACGGTCTCACCCCCGGAATCGCCCATCTGGTCGTGTGGCTGCGAACCCCAATCCCCGTGCAATCCGGGGAAGGCCATCTGACCGAGGAGTCCCGTGAATTGATCAACGACTTCGTGCAAAGGACCTTTGTGGACCGATTGGCCAAGCAGCCCGGCATTGCGGATCCCGCCTCCCATGTGCTGTGGTTCAAGAATTGGGTCGGCCTCCAGAGTGTCCGTGCCTTGGAACATGTCCATATTCTGGTTCGTGATGTCCCCGAGGAGATTTTGTTTGAATGGTCTGGTGAATAATTACATCGTGAATATGTCTTGCTCCTTGTCTACATATCATAACGAGCATTGGAAGATAGAAAATAAAAATGAATAATGAATCCGGTATCAGACGCCAGCTAGCCAGCACATCAAAGCAAAGGGACATTACAATATACAATTCCAGCAAGATCACGTCTTTTGCTCCTCCACGAACTTCAGAGCCTCCTCCCTCGAAACCACGTCGATGGTACTGGCCTTCTGTCGGAAGCTCACACCGTAACACTTTTCGGCCACGTGCAGCATCTCGGGTCGGAAGGTGGTGCAGATGAACTGTCCATTGGTAGAGTCAGAAATCGATTTGAGCATCTGTGCGACAGCAGTCCGGTACTGGGCGTCCAAGTTCGCATCGATCTCGTCAAAGAGATAGAATGGGGCGGGATCACAAGCTTGGATGGCAAAGACAAGTGCAAGTGCGCAAAGACCTGGATGGTGAGGTTAGAAAATCATATCGATGGTAAAATAAAGTTCGGAACAGTGCTTACTCTTTTGTCCACCACTGAGCTGCTGGATGCGCTGTTGATCGTCATGCTTGCTGTTGAAGCTGACACTGATGCCAACACCGACATAGTTCTCCACACTCTGGCGGGCATCTTCATCGTCGGAATCGACCTCCTCGCCGGGGCGTGCCGCACGGTCTGTCTTGCGTTGAATGATCAGACGACCACGGCCGGCGGGGACCAGTTTTTCAAATACATTGTGGAACTCGCGAGACACCTGCTTGAAGGTTCTCTCGATGGCCTCGTCCTTGCGCTGGTCGAGAACAGAGATCAGATCGTCAATGGACTTTTGCGAGGCATCCAGTTCGGAACGACGAGTGGTCAGGGTCTCGCGCTGCTTGGTGAAGCTGTTGTACTGCTCAAACGCCTTCTTGTTGACATGAGAATACTTCTTGAGAGCCTCGTTGGTCTTGTGAAGCTTCTTGACAACGGTGTTGGAATCAGTGTTTTGATACTTGGTGAATGCCTCGTCGGGGAGGACACCCAGTGAGCGGATGTTGGCTGCACATTCGGCACCTTGCTTTGTGAGCGCGGCCTTCTTTTGCGTACTCTTCTCCATGCGACGGCGATGTTTGTCAATGGAGCGACGGAGCTCCTCAACCTCGCGGCGGGTCTCCGCGTTACGTTGTTGCAACTCCACAATGCGAGCACTGCCTTCCTCGATCGAGGTGTCGACCTGCTGCAGTCGTTCGGTGAGCTTCTCTAGAGCCTTGCCAAGTCGCTTGACTTCACGCTGAGTTTCTTTGAGATTACCGTGAGCCTCCTCATCGGCAATGTCAACATCTCTGTTGAGAAGTTGATCAAGACGAGGATTCAGGTTCTCTCGAAGCTCAACTTCCAGTACTGACTTACGAGCCTCCAGCTCGCTGCGCTCCCCGGAAAGTTCTTGATATTGTTGACGAAGCTCTTTGATTGTAGCGCCCAGAGTCTCCAGACGCTCCTCTTCCTCGCCGGTAAGGGCCTTCTGGAAGGGGGTAGACAATTCCGCCTGCGACGCATTGACTTGGTCATTTAGAGCTGCAAGGCTAGACTCAAGGTTCCGGAGCGCACGCCGTTTGGCATCCAGAGTATCCTTCTTGTTCTGGACAAGATCACGCTTCCCGCGCAACTCTTGACGCAGCGGGCCACTGCTGTTCTGGACTTGGTGTCTTTGTTGTTCAAGCTTCTGCAAGTCACCGACGGCCTTTGTGATCATCTGATCAAGTTGCTCCAATTCCTTCCGGATTTCGGTGCCTCGGCTCCGCTTGGTTTCACACTCATCCCGCCACTTTCCTACATTCTTAACAGCGTCAAGCCGAGACGACCGCGAGTCATGGTATCCACCAGTCAGAGCACCGCGCTTGTCTGACCTGTCGCCCTCAGGGGTGATAGCATTGACACCGTGGCTGCGTGCATACTGCGAGGCAACCTGCAAATTGGGACAAATGATAGTCTTGCCGAACACGTGCTGGAAGGCTCGTTCGTATGCCGGGTCGTACTGCAATTTCTCAATCATTGGGATTGTGTCACTGGCGCGGGGCATGTCCAAAGGCCTAGACCGAAGCCTGTTCAATGGCATGAATGTCACTCGACCTGCTTTCTCCTTTTGAAGAATCTCAAGCACAGTCGTGGCAGTCTCATCCGTGTCAACAACGTAATGGAAGAGACTCTGACCTGCGGTGACTTCCACAGCGGTGCGATATCTTTCGTTCACATCAAAAAGCTCAGCGAGCGTACCATAAACGCCCTCCAGGTTGTGCTGGCGTTTGATGCGACGAACAGCAGCCGTTCCACGACTGGTATTGTGGTCCATCATAGACGATAGACTGCGCTCGGCCCGATCGGCTTCTTGGGATGCGTTTGAGATGACAGAGTCCAGTTTCGCTTCTTCTCTCCAGAGCTCCCTGTCACTAAGTCAGCATCTGCAGTTTTGGATTTTTTTCAATAAAAACATACTTTCTCTGGTCCATCAAACGATCTCTTTCATCCTTGGCATCTTGCACCTTTTGGTCTACAGAGTGCATGGTGTCGCCTCGCCCATCAATTTGTTCACGAAGGCGCTCCATCTCAGGTTCGAGGGCAGTGATCGTGGATTCCAGCTCCTGGATATCTTCTTCTGTCTGGGACACCACGCCTTGAACAGACTTGATTGAGTTGTGACTTTCGCGGACTTCCATATTCAGATACTTGTCACGCTCAGACTTGTTCTTGAAACGCGAGTTACGTCCTTGCTTCGCATACAAGCGCTGGCGGGATGTTTCAGCGTCGGTAAGTTGGGATTTCACTCCATCCTCTTGGTCTTTCAGAGCCTTGAAGCGGGGAAGAATCTCTTGGTGCTCGGATTCACGCTTCTGAATGGCTTCCTGGACAGAAGTCAAGTCGGCATCGTATCGCGACTTCAATGCCTGAGCCGCGGCCTGATTATCAGAAAGTGATTTGGCCTGCAGTTCATTTTGGGCCAGGGTCTTTGATGCCTCGCGACGCTCATCTTCAAGTTGGGCCTTGTCGACCTTGAGGAACTCAATCTGCTGACGGCATTCGGTGATCTCTGCATCAATCTGATCGATCGCATTTTGCAATTCGTTCTCTTGTTCACGGTTGTTGTCGGCATCCTCAACACCGTTCTGTCGGCGCTCCTCGATTTCACTCAAGACCTTACCAATCTCCTGCTGTTCCAAAGAGTAGATGGTGTACTCCAGGCAGCGTCTTTCTTTGTCTTTTTCCTGGTAGCTTCGCAGTTCATCTTTTTCTTCTTCAAGTTCGGCAAGTCGCTCATTAATGTAGTCCAGAAGCTCATCGATCTTTGCCCGTTTGCTGTTGGTCTCGTTCATAATCTTGAGAGACTCGGTTCGACGGGCTTCATAGACCTGTGTACCAGCTACCTCCTTCAACAGAACGAGTCTTTCGGAATCCTTCATATTCGTCAAAGCGGTGACTCGACCCTGAGGGACAATATAGTAGGGATTGGACCGAGAGAAACCGGCAGACTCGAGCAGGTTCATGACGTCGTTCTTGGTGGCATTCTTGCGGTCGAGGGTATACTCATCCTTCTTGATACCAATGGTACGGCGAAGGACCAGCTCTGGCTTGCCGGTCGGGAAACGGTCGTCTGAGTTGTCGAAAATGATCTCCACGTAGGCAGACATCACAGCTGAACCAGAACCTTCCTGCTTGGGGTCAACAACTCTGGTCCACCAACCAATTCGACGGTACATACGTGCAAGAGAGCTTGACGCTCCTCCCTACCGAGGTGAGTGTAGGCATCGCTAAGAACAAATCGAATGGCCGCGAAAAAGTTACTTTTGCCAGAACCATTGCGCCCGACGATGACATTGTGTTTAGGAGAAAAAGGCTCGATAACGGTTTGGTCCTTGTAGCTAAGCGATCAATGTCAATGAAACCCCTTCAAATGAAGAACTCAGAAAGTGGACTTGGGACATGACTTACCTCTTGAAGCCTTGAATGATGATCTGCTTGACATACATCTTGAAAGAACACGCGTGACGCGAGTATTAGTTAGAACTCCCCCGGCATAACGCGCCTGGCGCAATAATGAAAAAAAGCAGAAGAGATGCGCCCAATCGATGAGAGCTGGCAGATCTCTTAGCCAACAAAGAACTCAAGACTGAGCGGTATCGTGGGTGTGTTGCGGCGAACGGTAGTGATTGACTACGCGAGAGACGAAATCAGCGCGTCTCGTTGGGCGCGGGGTTCTGCCGGGCGGTCAGCCAAATTTGGGCCACAGAAAAAAAAAACCTTGGGGACGACGGACGGAATCACACATTCTCGTTCTCGACATTGAAGTTTCAAAATGGCTTCGAACGAGAGTCCTGCTTCGGCAGTCGGTATTGCCGACGGTCTTGCGCCGTCCCACACCTACGTGCCTAACGAAGGCTACATGAACCCCGATAACGCAGACTCCGCTGAGGCGGGGCAAGATCTGCCCGAAAATTACGAAGAAGGCGAGGAGGATGAGGACTACGATGATATTTTCGAGGAGGAATTGGATCGCGAGGACATTCTCTCCTCCGATAACACCGATCTCACCAAGGCCTACAACCGTCAGCGCAGAATCAACGACCTCGCTGCCGACTCCAGCGTGCCGAAATGGACTTACCCTAAAACGAACACTCAGAAGCCTACCGTGAACACCTCGGCCTTCATCGATGACCAAGTCAAGTCTCTCACCCGCCATGCAGGAAAGATCAAGCTCGACGACCAACAGGCTGGTATCTCGGGCCGCGCTGAGAAGGGCGGAGACAAGGCCGACCGAGCCACCTCAGAACAGGTGTTGGACCCCCGCACACGCATGCTGTTGCTGCAGATGATCAACAGAGGCCTTGTGTCAGAAATCCACGGATGTTTGTCTACAGGAAAGGAGGCCAATGTCTACCATGCCATGTCTGTCTCTCAGGATGACGATGAGGCTCCCCCACTACACCGCGCTATCAAGGTTTACAAGACGAGCATTCTGGTCTTCAAAGACCGTGATAAGTACGTCACCGGAGAGTTCCGTTTCCGTCAAGGATACAACAAGAGCAACAACCGCGCCATGGTCAAGCTGTGGGCCGAGAAGGAAATGCGCAACCTCCGCAGAATCTATGCTGCAGGCATCCCCTGCCCCGAGCCCCTCTACCTCCGTCTGCATGTCCTAGTTATGGGCTTCATTGGTAGCTCTAAGGGTCTGGGTGCTCCTCGTCTTAAGGATGTTGAGTTTAGCATTCCCGAGCCCGACACTCGTTGGCGCGAACTGTACATGGAACTGTTGGGCTACATGCGAGTCATGTACCAAACCTGTCACTTGGTTCACGCTGATCTGAGCGAGTACAACATTCTCTACCATAAGGAGCGTCTATATATCATTGACGTTAGTCAGAGTGTTGAGCACGACCACCCGCGCAGTTTGGAATTCCTGCGCATGGATATCAAGAACGTCAGTGACTTCTTCCGCCGAAAGAACGTTATGACTCTTCCTGAGCGCACCGTATTCAATTTCGTCATTTCCCCCCAAGGCCCGACTGAAATCGCTGCCGGAAATGATGATATGACCAACGCCATTGAAAAGCTTCTCGTGGCTCGCGAAGAGGGCACAGATGAACAGCAAGAGGCCGAGGATGTTGATACTGCGGTTTTCCGTCAACAATATATCCCTCAAACACTGGAGCAAGTGTATGATGTTGAGCGTGATACCGAGCGTATCCGAGATGGTAAGGGCGATGACCTTATCTACGGAGATCTCCTTGCAGGTGGGAAGAAAAAGGAGTCCGCGGATGCTGAGGTAGATGCTGAATCCGACGCAAGTGGCGGTGTCTCAGTCTCAGGATCCGACTCTGACGATGAAGAGGCCGATCCATTCGCCAAGAAGGCCCCTCGGGGAAAGCGTTTCGAAGACAAAGATTCCAAGCGCGACCACAAGGCAAAGGTGAAGGAAGAGAAGCGCGAGCAGCGGGCGAACAAGATGCCAAAGCACCTCAAGAAGAAGCTGGTCTCCTCTTCTTCTCGGAAGAAGCACTAAGCACACGGCTTTCTCACTTTGTCTCTTTTTGCATGTGTACGGGTGTTGTGGATATTTACACACTATGTGTGACACCCTCTTGGCACGATCTGATGATGAAATGCATATTTGGATGGAGCATTGGGCATTTTGATACCTTGGTCTAAAATTTATATAAATGGAAAAAAAAAACTACATTTGTTCACAACAACACCTTTGCGCTTTGCTAAACTCTCGGGTTTGAGATAAAATATAAAGAAATTCCACAGAGATGTTGCGTATTGAAAGGGGTATCTATATATCTATAAATACCCCTTTCAATACATAGGTATGATGTAACCCCCGAAGAATAAGTGGAAGGCCTATCGGAGCTCTCTTTGGCAGTCATCCCGACCTGCTCACACCCTGCCATCCTCCACAAGATTCCAATGGCAGTGCTTACACCATCGGCGCCCGCGAGCGGTTGCCGAAGAGTATGCATCTCAGCCCCAGAATCAAACAGAGTAGACATGAATGTCGGCAGAGGGTCAGACCTATTGGGTTTTCGTCATTTAGGCTTCAGGGGAGAATCACGGATGATGGTGGTAATGCGGTGGTTAGGAGGAGGTTTGAGATGTCAAGAAGATTCGATTTCCATCATAGATACAAGATGACAAGGAAAAAGAAGTGGTATCCCGAGAACTGTAAGTCAATTGGACGCTAAAGCAGCAGAAGCATGAAGCATGGATTGTGAAAAATGGATGGAGGTAATCAAGGGGCATGTGCTTGGGAAGCGGTTTTGCTTCGCGCTTTGACTCTAGCGTAAGCTTGTTCGATTAGGTCTCGGGGCAAATCAGGAATGTGTTCGCCCTGGTTGTGACAAGTGGGGTCATCGACCTTGGCACTTTCAGGATGATGATGGTCACCATCCTGCGGCACATCTTCAGCATTAGGGGCACCATCTAGGTGTCCACCCGCGAGCCTTAGAAATTGAACCTGCATTGGCGCAAGGCCCACCCCAGGCCATATGTCAGAGGGAAGGTAATCCCCCTGCTCCACACGGAAAGCATCACGAGCAGCGGCATCTTCATCATGAAGTGAGTCCAACTTATGCCTGGTTTCTCGGAGTACCTTTTCCACACGTTGCCGAACATGACGTCGGCGTGCTACCTCAAGCATGAGGCTATCATAGGCATTGAGAAAGCCATCGTATAATGAATGTAAGTCAGAAAGTTCTGCAAGACCGGAGTTAATGCGATCATTTTCCTCGTGCCAGACACGGGTGAAGTTGTGTGCTTGGGAAATATAACGAGGTAGGCCGTTTGAGGCCAGAGCCGAGAGATGTCCATGAACTTCGATGGTTGCCTTGGAAATGGACAGCAGCACGTCGCGATGGGTTTGCACGTGTTCAAAAATAGACTCCATCTCGTTTATCCGGTCTTGAATCTCAATTACCACATCCTCTGCCTCCGGAGCATCCTTGATCAGCACAGTCACCATTTCTTGGTATTCGGCGTCTGTCATTGGATCGAGGGGGGCGTTGAGATGGGCGTTGATTTCTGCCCCAATGTTGGGCATCCCGTCATTGCTGCCGTCCACACCCGTGGGCATATCACCAGTGATGGACCGTGCGACTGCGCCGCCACCATCCGTGTGCTTCACAGCAGTTACACAGAGATCAAAATGCCGAACCAATGCTTCAAGGAGCACTGCCATCTCCCGAGCGTGGGCTTCCAATGATTGGATCTGCCCCGGCATTGATGACAAAGTGAGGAGGCCAGAGTCAGACGTGGATGATGAGGAAGATGTGATTGAGAGACGGGATGACGCCAATTTGGTGGCGGTGTGGAAGTGACGAAGAGACTGTCTCGTTGCTGCAAGCTCGTCATCGAATTCACGATTCGAGATGTCAAGCTCAGCTCGCGCTGTGTTAGTGTGGTCGATTGAGGCTTTCAGTGAGGCATGTAATTCTTCAACTCCCCGCTCATCAACAAAGTCGTGTAAGCTTTTCTCGCCCTCGTCACCGGGTCTGAACGATACGTGAACAATGGTCCCTCGCAATAGATCTAGTGTCTTTTTGAGCCGAGCATCCGCAGCGTCGAGATTGCGCAAGGCTACGGAGAATTCATCTCGACCTCGGAATGAGATCTGCTCAACCTCGGTTCGTACATCGTATAGCAGTCGCAGTTGACTATTGAGTCCTCGGCGTAGGAAGCCCGTCCGGGAACACACCGTAACACTCTCCTCCAGGGCCGAATGCGAAGCCGTGACTATTTCATTGGCTCGCCAGACATGATTGATAGATGCGAGCGATCGTTTCGCTCCCAACAGATACGAGATCAGAGTGTCAACCTGGGGTAGGGTCTTCTGGTCCTCTGGTCCAGCGCCGGGGTGGATAGACGAGCTGGAAGAGTGAAATGACGCCATTCTACAAATTTTTCAGAATAGATGGCGCATCCAGATGAAACCCAAAAGAAAAGAGTAAAATTTCGCCAGGTGAAACCACCACAGGGGGATTGTTGCAATGTCAGGACGGAAGAGACCCTGTCGTAATTCAGCACCTCACCAAATCAGAGGTAGATTAGTGGAGCATACAGGGATCTCCCACGGGCCGGGGAAAACCTGCTGTAGGGTCCGATGAGCTCCTCATAAGCTCTATCAAAAAAGTCGATCAATCACGAGATCGGCCGCTAGTTTGACGAGAAGGGGGCACTCTCTCGGTCGAGACCTTCAAGGGAAGACGGTTCAGATAAAGCTGGACGGAACCAAAGGGGAGTGGGTCACGAATGGCGGTGAAGTACAAACCGAAACAAACAGGATCAAACACTGTCAAAGACAAATCCCAAAGTTGAGCTACTCAAAGTGGAGGAAACTAGAAATGACGAATCGAGGACCTGTCGGAAAGGTGCGCGGGAATGTGGTGACAGACTGCGGAGATCGCGCCATAGGTCACATGACTCACCGCCTTTGATTCGCCTTCCGTCACGCAATCTCTCCGGATCTGTGTACAGTGACTTATACTACCTTGGGAGAGATTGTGCAATCCTCTGTTCTTGTTTAAAGTCCCCCCTTTTCTCTGCACTCACCTTGCATTCTTCTGCAGGATATTCTTTCCCTACCTACCTCGCTCTCTCGAATCCTTCAAAATCGACATACAATACTGACTTCACCTCCCGGACCCGCCTTTATTTTGTCGCCTTCCAAGAAGAGACGGACAGGACACAGAAAAACCAGTATTGACTGGGTTGTCGAGTATCTGTAACTCAACTGGTCTCGATTGCTGTGCATAGTAGACGTGATCGTCACTACCACGGTGTGGAGCGACCTTCTTCGTCACCTGCATCGCCCCACCGACTGCCACCCCTCGTTATGACCGACACAACTGAGATTTCGTCTTCACGGCAAAAGCCTGTGTCCAATGCGGGCCCCAGTGTCAACCCCGAACCCAACGCCCCTCGCCGAGATGCCGACACACAGACACTGGAGGAATTAGCTCGCGAAAATGTTGCACCGTTTCTTGCCAGACACCAGCCAAGACAGTATGCGCCGCTACGCTCGCAGGTGTCGAACCCCTCGGAGCAACGTCTTGTCAACTCCAGCTACTGTTACCGCCACCAGCCAGATTCCAAGTGTGGCAGGCGACAAGCAGACGAGCAGTCCATGACTCAGCTTCAATCTGAACTGAACGGCCTTGCTCAGGAGGATCAAAAGGCTATCTCGCTTGTGTGGTCCCTGTTCTCCGCCGCCCCGGCCAAGCAGCGCACACTGATGCTGCAAGGAATTCTGGCACAGTGCTGCTTCCCTCAACTCTCCTATATTTCTGCCAGCGTCCGTGAACTGATCCGAATCGATTTCCTTTCTGCATTGCCCCCAGAGCTCTCTTTCAAAATCTTGCGATACCTGGACACGGCATCATTGTGCCGGGCTGCACAGGTCTCCCCGCGTTGGAAGGCCCTTGCAGACGACGATGTGGTGTGGCACCGGATGTGTGAGCAGCATATTCGTCGAAAGTGTAACAAGTGTGGTTGGGGTCTTCCTCTTCTGGATCGCAAGCGTTTGCGCGAGGCGAAGCGTGAAATTGAGTTGCGTGCCACCAACTGGGGAAACAACGAGCTTTCTGCGGCGCCTGCTGAGGGTGCTGTCACTGAGACTTGCTCTACCACGGCACCTGCAGTGAATGGAAAGCGCAAGGTGGACGCCGAGGACGACGAAGCAGCTCTCGTTAAGCGCCATTGCACGTCACCGCCTCAATCTTCGCTCGAGGATGAAGGATATTTCAGACGCCGGTTCCGCCCATGGAAAGACGTCTACCGTGATCGATTTGTCGTCGGTATGAACTGGAAGCATAAACGCTGCTCGGTCAAGGTGTTCAAGGGACATCGGGACAGTGTTATGTGCTTGCAATTCGAGGACAACATTCTCATGTCTGGATCTTACGATGCCACTGTTAAGATTTGGGATACGGACACTGGTGAAGAACTGCGAACTCTCAAGGGTCACACTGCTGGAGTTAGATGCCTCCAATTCGATGATACGAAGTTGATCACCGGCAGCTTAGATCGCAGCATCCGAATCTGGAACTGGCGCACCGGTGAATGTATCTCCAAGTACAACGGACATGCCGAAGCAGTTATCGCTCTCCATTTCGATTCCACTCTTCTGGCTTCTGCTTCTGTTGATCACACTGTGAAGATCTGGAACTTCAAGGACAAATCCACTTTCGTTTTGCCTCACCCTGCAGGAGTCAACGCCGTCAAGATCGACTCGGCCTCGCAAACAGTTCTGACCGCCTGTGATGATGGTGCTGCTCGCCTGTGGGACCTGAAGACCAAGAACTGTCTCCGTGTTTTCCATAACCACATCGGCTCAGTGCAGCAGGTCGTAGCTCTGCCCCGTGAGATTGAGCTAGAGAATCATCTTGCCGATTGCGAGAACGACCATGTCAGCACAACTTCACAACATGGTGACAATCTTCTGAGTGCCCTGTCCCCTACTCTTGAGCACAAGCCTCTGTCTTCCCAGCCCTCTGCCTTCGGCTCCTCATTCGATCAAGGAGAAGATCGCATGGAACCCCCGCGCTACATCATCACCAGTGGCCTGGATGCCACCATCCGACTGTGGGAAACCAGCACTGGAAGATGTCTTCGCACGTTTTTCGGCCATCTGGAAGGTATTTGGGGGCTTTCCGCCGATACCTTGCGCATCGCATCTGGCGGAATGGATCGCATGGTCAAGATTTGGGACCCTCGCATCCCCACCTGTCAAGATACCTACGAAGGGCACAGCGCGGCTGTCAACTGCATTGGGCTCAGTGACAGCCGATTCATCACTGGCGGCGACGATTACCAGGTCCGCATGTACGATTTCCGGGCCTAATCCGGTGTTTATTCTTGTTATTTTTTCTACCTTTTGTCTTCTAAAAGCATTGTCTGGGGAGGAAATTTGGTCTTTTGGTTTTTGGAATGTTTGTGGAATCGGGGCGCAGATATTTGGCGCTACCCTCTTTCCTTTGCATATTTGGTGGATACCCTGGCGCATTTGAGAGCAGTTTGAAATAGGTCTTCACTGCATCATGGCGCAATTGAGATTACATGACATGTTTGGTTTTTACACATACTGAGTGTTATTTAAGTAAATGAATTGACACAAGAACATAATGCACTCCATATCGCCCAGACGTAGACTTAGGTAGCGCCCAAGGGTTCAATGAAGTATGCCTGCGGGTGCATTTCGGACTGGCCGAACTACCATTGAACAGCCACAGTAATCGAACTACACTCATGTTTTCAAGTCAAACCTCACATTTATGTCGAGAGTCTTAAAGCTCTTGGTTCATTCAGGGAGGCACTGGTTGATGGATTGACTGACTGATTGACTGATCGGTCAGTACGAAGTAGTTAGAGTTATTTAAGATGAAAGACCAGATGAAAAAAGAGTCTACTAAAGAGGGCTCTAGAATACTATTTTCAGACGTTAGATGGCTTCAAGATGATTGGACAATTTATGAATCCAACGCCCGAATCTATTCAAATTGACAATTTTGACAATTTTGACCGGTTTGAATAGCTTCATTATCGTCAAGTGCGAATTCCAATTCCAAGTATGAAGCGGTGACTCCATATATTGTGCAAACCCCTTTGATGGGAATACGAGTACTCCTACAGGGTATGGGGTACGCGGCTTGTTTCAAGTGTTTTCCAGGGGCTGGCCCCACAAGGTGTCTAGACTTGGAAATCGGGGTGTTCTGGGTGTTCAATGGCTTAAGATCACAGTCCAACTCCGCTTTAAGGGCTGCCAACGACCAAATGAAGGAATAATCGACAATGTTCCTCTGTGGCAAAATGTTGATCTACACATTCCTGTCCAGCTCGGCTCTATCCGTTTATCTTTTGCCCCTAGATAGATCTCGACATCTCAGGTTCTAAACATCTTTGACTCTCCTGTTTCCTACTTCAAGGGGTACCTTCTCGCCAAGCCCGTGAGACTGATGCCTGTGAATTTCAATTTCCGCTCCTGTGCACCTTGGGTCCTGGGTGAGGCCACCTTCAGTCCAATAATTGGTTGCATCAACCTTGAGTTGGATGTGGTGACTGGATGCTGAGTTTCGAGCGCTGTCCGGAAGGCTACATCCTGAACGATTCACAGCATTTCTAGTAGCTCGTCATGAGGAGCCCGTCGCTGGAAAAAGGGCGCTATCAACCGTTTTATGGAACCCATAAGCCAAGAGGGTACTATTCTCGCGCCAAAAAGCCATGGATTTTAACACTTTCCACAGCGGTGGTGTTGACCATCGTCATGTTGTACCTATCTCGCTCGCCCGTGGAGCCAAACTCGCCCCCCGCAACATATGATAGAACATCTCCTGACCACCCTGTCTTACAACTCGCAAGGAACGCTCAGACTTCGTTCAACGCCACACTGGGCAGGCAGTCTAAGACTTTGAAGCAGGCAGTGCTGGAATACAAGCGCCGATACAAGATGCCACCGCCTCCTGGCTTTGATCATTGGTACAACTTCGCCAAGGAGAGAAACACGGTTCTGATCGATGAGTTTGATGTCATCTACCATGCACTGCTGCCGTTCTGGGGACTGAAGCCGAGTGTACTACGCGCGCGAGCCCGAGAAGACCTCGGAAATAGCGACAATGGCTTTATGAGTATCTCCATACGAAAGGGTCGAGCGTTCTGTGCGAGTTCCACCCAGCTGTACCAGCGTGTTGGGACTATGAGTATCCTTGAGCCGTTTGTTAAGTGGCTGCCTGATATGGACTTGCCATTCAATGAGCATGACGAGCCGCGAGTGGTCGTGGCACACGAAGAGTTGAGTCAGAGGGTTTCTCTCGGCAGGGAGGCGCATGATCGTCTGTCTCGAGTATCGAGCCCGAGTGATAACTATACGGTCTCATACCCCTTCCTTGACGAGCCACCGCCGGTCCCAGAAACACGATACAAATCGCTCCAATTTCAAAACAACTGGGCTTTCTCCACTCTCTCTTGTCCTCCCGACTCGCCTGCGAGAGACCTCGATGGAAATGCGGTAGATGATGCCGCCTCGTATGCAATCGAACCCCTGGGGTTTATTTACAATCAGACAGCATTCAGTGATGTTTGCCAGAGTCCATCTTTGCAGCATCGTCTAGGCATTTTTGAAAGTCCACATACTTTAAAGCTCACAAATGAGCTCAGCCCTGTGTTTTCAACCTCAATGCCATCCTCCTTCCAAGATATCCCAGTGCCATCGACTTGGTACCATGAGAAGATGGCTGCGTTTGACAAAGAAACCGACTTGAGGTGGACGGACAAAGCACATCAGCTGTACTGGAGAGGTGGAAACACAGGAGGTCATACTGATGAAGATACATGGCGAAATACCTTGCGTCAGCGAGTGATTGGGAATTTAACGCACCCCAGCTCAGCACAATACGTTCTTCGACCAATGGATAACTCAATGCCAGAACAACGCACTACCAATAGCAGCGCCAGTGGTTGGGATATTCGAGCAATCCAGCCGGGGGAGTACGACAAACATTTCAATCTCAGGTTCACTACCATAAGCCATTGTGAACACAATTGCGACTCCCAGACCCAATTTTTCGGCGGCGAGGCTGAAGTTGAGGAGCCAAGCAAAGCCTGGAAATATCGTTATTTACTCGATATGGATGGCTGGGCCTACAGTGGGAGGTTTTACTCTTTCATGAACAGCAAAAGTCTGCCTCTCAAAGTTTCCCTCTTCCGTGAATGGCATCAAGATATTTTGATCCCATGGGTGCATTATGTCCCTATCAACAAAGATGCCGACGAGGTTGTCGAGCTTATCCGATACTTCGAGCACTATCCAACCGGAAGTCTCATCGCGGAGAAAATTGCAACTGAGGGTAAAGATTGGGCAGAGCGTGCACTGAGAAACGAGGATATGGAAGTGTACATGTTTCGTCTCCTCCTAGAGTATGTGAATCGGTGCCTCTTCCAGGAGTCTAGCTAACGCTCTACAGATATGCTCGTCTACAGGATGACGAGCGAGATATGTTAGCTTATCGGAATTATTAAGATTGAGGATTTGCTCAAAGCTCGAGCATCTGGACATGTGTACGAAGGGGTCTAGAGATCAGGGGCCCAATGGATAATTTGGTGCCTGGAGATGTCTGATTCTAGATCGCGGCTTCATACCTGGTAATGTAATTCGCATTTCAAGATCTCTGGGGCCCTCTTTTGAAACCTCTTATCTCGTCTTAACCACTTCAAAAACCAACTGCCCAATCGATGAGTGCCGCACCGGATGAAATTAGAGCTTTGAAGACGGCATTTGACTTGGAGAAATGAGTATACATCGATTATCGTGGCGTGTGCGATGGTAATTGAAGTAACTTGATTCAATACCAGTCCCAAATCAGGCACCAACAGTCATCAACAGGCCCTGGGGCGCTATAGTTAAATCCTCGTACAGAGTACATGCGTTTAAGAAGACTTCATTTTTCCCCTCCTGTCTGACTACCGCTACTTCTCCTGAAGTCTCGGCCAACAGGCCCCAAGTGTAGATGGCACTCATGTTTCGGCAAACTTTCCCCTTCTATTCATGGCAAGTTTGCCCAATAATCAGAACAGCTTGTCTCTTTGCTTTTGACAAATCTTGGCGTTAGCGTTGCACCGGGTAGATGGCCCGAAATCGTGCCAGTGATATGAGCGCTGGAGGTTAGTGGATCTGGGACCTAATATTGGCGAGCCCCCAAAGCCTCTTATGCAGAAGCAGCATCATCACCTGGGCGATAAGGTGACTAGTAGATCTCATGTTGGTGGTGGGCTCATCTCAGTCTATAACTATCCAACGGGGTGAATGTCTTCCGAGCTTGGTGAACAACTTTAGAAAGATGTTCGATCATCTTCCAACCTCGGAACCTTGGAGATGTTCTGAATTAGTCTTACCTGGGTACTGTGCTCCGAGAATTCCAATGAGAGCATCATACTTCTTTGGCACGTCCCTTCCGGGAATGTATAACGGTTGTGAACCCCTCAGAGTCTACCTCTGACTGAGTTGGAAGCTTTAGCTCTCTCTCGTTTTCCACGCGTCTTTCCAGCGAACGATCCTTGATGTTCCTTCCCCTGGCTCTATGCTTCCTTCGTATCGACTGCTTATATTTCTGAAATTTATCATTTCGATGTGGCATATATAAAGACCCTTTGTTAGGCCGCCAATGCAGAGTGTAGTATGTCTCTACTCTCCTGGTCTCGTCGTTGGACATTCTAACTGTAACATGACTGACTTCATTAGGGTCATACCAACTTTTGGTGACGTGCAAGTTATTCCTATGGCTTGATTAACAGGATGAACTTGACATACAAACACTTGAGTATGAATGACTATACAAGACCACAGCTTCATCGAAATGAACTTGAAGTTCGCAACCCACAAAAATTGCCATGGCATTTTCCTGTATCCACTTGGTAAATTCTGCATGAGATTCCTCTTTGAAAGACTTTGCCCCCGTAGCGAAAGTGACTTTGACTGTATTTGCCATTATGGAGGGAGTGCGTAATTTAGATGTTGTTGTTTAGTATCGATGCGTGTGGTGGGTACTACCAAGGGGATACTGACATCTAAGGATATAGATTATATAGGTCTACATCCGTGTCGATTTTCCAGAAACAAGACATCAGAGGTCGCCGAAACACTATCATGAAAGCTAAAAGTTTAGAAAGTGTTTGAAGTACAGTTTCATACCTATGTTTCTAGAAGCCGAGACACGGGGCAGTCAAGAGGCTCAGGAAGAGGAGAGAGTGCTTTCGGTAGAAGCACCTCGACTACACTGCGGGACCTCGGAACAGAGAGAGTGGACTGGAGCAGAAAAGAAGAGAGACAAAGAGAGAGGGAGACGTACTACTTACAACTGCCACCCCAGCAGAGTTATCCTTTCAAGTGAATCGGTGCGGAACGCGTCGTAGCCCGCAAATGCTCACCAGAGCCCTCTCCTGAATGTTGAGACAACAAATAAGACAAAAATAGTCAAGACTGAATAGCGCCAAGATGAACAACACGGAAAGATTGGACAAAGGAGTACTTCGTGTATTTCATGAACATGAGCCCTCTTCTCTTCTTCTATTTCTTCTGTATCTCCAGCAGCGCTTCCTTCCTCTTCTCACTTTAAATGCCTACAGCATTCTCCAAAATCCCCCTCATCTTAGGGGGATGCGATGACTATATTGATTTACATGATACTGATCTTGATGATGACGAGATTTCGATGATAATGCTGGATGAAGAGAATCTTTGTGAATATTGTCCTGGGGGGTATCATCCCGTCACTCTGGGCGATAGGTTCAAAGATGGCCGTTATGAAGTCCTGAACAAACTCGGATGGGGAAGAACCTGCACAGTTTGGCTTGTATGGGACTACAAGTGAGTTTGAGATACCAAAGCGTTATTACATACCTAACATTCCACAGAAATGAAAGGTTGGTCGTCTTGAAAATCCTTGTTCCAAAAGTGACGAAGCCTACTGAGCGGTGGGTATTGGAGCGATTGAACCAGGAGGCTGGCGGAAAGCCCTCGGATTACAATATCACTCTACTTCTGGAGGCATTTGTGCACGAAGGGCCAAATGGGTCTCATCACTGTCTGGTCACCGATCTCGTGGGCCCCAGTATCGAACTGATGTTAAGAAAAGATTTTTGGCAACGAGCAAAAGCTAGAAAACGACTGGAGACAGAGCCTGAGCCTGAGCCTGAGCCTGAGCCAGAGTCAGAGACAGAGACAGAGACAGAGGCAGAGGCAGAGACAGAGTCAGGGGAGCAGGAGAAGACAAAAGTAGACGAACAGGAAGAGGACGAAGAAGAGGTAGATGGGGAGGCCTTCTTCCAAACCAAATCAACCGTGGAAATCATGCAACAACTGGTCAAAGCCGTGAAATTTACTCATGAGGCTGGAATATGCCGCGCAGGTGAGAGATTGCTGCTCCCATGTTCAGGATAACTGGCTTTGCTGAAATCCGTCGATTTTCCAAATAAACCCTGCGGTGACTACTTAGTATGGCATACTAACATCGCTTTAGATATTCAGATGTCACACGTGACAGTCCTTCCTGTCGATTTTTGGAAGGCAGGGGTACATGATATTGAACGCATGATTGGCAAGCCGGAGGGCTGCGCTATTTCCGAGGAGTTCAGGTAAAAGGGAGAGCCAAAATACATTTACAGAGGGGCCAGGTGGAATTTGTATAAGCGTTTTTTGTACCAAAGCATGAAGCGTGGAAAGCCTCCCCATTTGAATGCTTGTCTGATTGGCTTCGGTCAGAGCTTTTTCCAAGGCCAAGAGCCGGAAAGCTTCTGTCCAGATTATTCTATTCGAGCCCCGGAGGTACTACTGACAGGGAAGTTTGACTACAGAGCCGATACATGGTATTTGGGTAACATTGTGAGTCTGTACGCCCAGAAAATGTGAGATTGCTCTCTGACCATGATGTTCAAGATGTACAAGCTTTTGACCAATTCAATGCCGCACAATCTGCTCGGTCTATCCCCGTATAGCATGTCTGGCTATGAGGCAATTATTAACATGACCTTCTCCATGGAAGACCTCCCAGAGGAATGGGTGCCAAAGCTTGAGAAGCTGCGATTAAAATGGGGAAGGAAAGTGATTCCAAAGGAGGGTACGGATACCAAGTTATTGTATGATTTAACTTAGAACCGGACACTGACATCCCCTCTAGTGGCTAGACCGCCAGATTTGGAGAAGAAATGGAAGCTTGATGTTGAACTCGGTGGCAACCCCAGACATGAGCCCGCTATTGCTATCATCAGGGGAATGATGCGCCTTTTGCCGTCTGATCGGTCTACATTGAAGGAAACAGGTGATATGCTCGAAGAGATGGCAATGTTTTTCGATCATGAAGAATGGGACGAGAACTTCTTTGAAGGGTATCAAAATTGGAATGGGCCAGATGATTCGAATGATTCAGACGTGGAAGATGAAGAGAGATCGGCCAGGACTCTATGCCCATCTCTTGAATCTTTAACTGTGGAGAGTTCAGAAGGATGCGATGCAGCCTCCTTGGGGAAGTCGGATGCTATACCGAACAAAGAGGTGGATAGAACTCTTGAGTCTAACGGAAGAAAGGACGGATGGAAGGTCTCGTATTCTCATCGAAAGAAAATAAAGAGAAAGGGAAAGGCAAAGAGGAAGGGAAGAGGAAAGAAGAAAAACTAGTCAGCTATTCACAGAAACAAAAACGAAATATCCTCGGCCATCCCGAGCGATACAAATCAACATGTCGACGGGGCAGGTGAGATTTCACCGGTTTGTCGCGTAGCGGATATGACAGAAACTCACAATTTGGCTCTTCGGGAATACGGAGCCCCCGAAGACACCATCCGTGCATTAGGCTGTCGAAGGGCCGAGGGATCTACAAGAGAGTTCTCTGCAACAGCATGTCGAGCAGGACGAGCCGAGGGATTGTTGTCAAAGCTGCTGGTTCAATTTTGGCGACCATCGAAACGATCGCTGAGGTCCTAGCCATGGAGGGTATGGTTGTTTGATATTCACATGTCATTTGCTGGATGTTTGGCCTCTCTAAAGTTGATGTTCTGGCTTATTGTTTTCTGGTTTGTTTGTGGTCTTGTTCGGCTTTTCTTGTTGATTTTGCATAGTCCAACCAGAATGAACGGGATTCCGAGGTTGGATCCATCCAGGTAGATAATTTTGGGGTTAAATCACATCAAAACAATAATCAAATGTACCCGTGGCCAAAACACTAAGTGACCCTCGACACCGTACGCCGCATGATGCAAAAAATGGAAAACAATGGTAGCATAGCAGAAAAGCAAGTTCTATCAGCAAACCCTAGAATAGGCGTGAATTGCTTGGTATGTCGAAAGGGGGGATTTCAAAAATGTGCATAGTCCGATATCTATTTTCGCAAAGGGACGAAGGGAGGTCGAGAGGGCGGGAGGTAAGAGGTCAACCGAGGTGAACCAGCGCGTGGCGTGGAGGGAATGGCGCGAAAACATTTTAGGCTTGGGCGACAGGCCATCCGTCGACATATTTCAGGGGGTTAAATCCAAGGAGAGCATCCTGTAGGTGGGTGTTAGACTGGAGCTCAATAGCGCCCACAAAGTGGTGCGAAGGAGAATCAAGGGGGATCAACAGGGGTGAGGAAACTGCGAAAATCGCGGCACACAAGCCTGTCAAACAAGTGAAAGCTTACCGGGAAGTCAATTCCAATTGTCTTGTTCACTGCGATGGGGTCAACATGGGTATGGTCAAGAATTGTAGTTGGCATCGACTCACAATAGTGGTAGTAGAGAACGTCAGTGTCACCATCCCGAAGAACACCTTGCCCACCTGGGGCATAGGTATCTCCATTCGAGCCGTAGACAATTTCACCACCGCCCTTGACTAGGTCTGTACCAGACTTGTCGGTGAACGGACCACGAGGGCTGTGTGAGCGCCCGACACGGATAGAATACCTGGATTTCGTCAACTTCAACACAGGAAATAGCGGGATCAAACACATACTCTTGTCCAGCGGGCGGCAAGTTATCCGGCTTCAGACCGCAGCAGAAACCGTGGCTGTACCAGAGATAATACCATCCGTCGTTGTACGAGATGAAAGCACCCTCAATAGCATGGGGGCCGGTCGGGTCACCGCAAATGGTGTTGGCCATGCGGTTCGGCATTCCGAGAGATTTCGGCTCCCACGCCAGTTGGCGGGCATCGGGCTCCGTAGTGCTGGCAGGGGAGATCAGATCCTCTCCAAGGGGGATTTGGAAGATACCATTCCAGTAACTTCCCCACGTCAAATAAGCTTCGCCATCCGCCGTTACTAATGTGCTAGGGTCGATAGCATTCGAGACGGTGTAAGGATGGATATCCGATCCTTCGCCAGTACCCGTCTCAATGATGGCGCCGTGGTCGAACCAGTTCCCAGGACCTGGGGAGTCGGATGTGGCCACACCGACAGCACTGTCGCGACATCCAGCTTTGCTGACACTGTAATAGCAATAATAGGTGCCATCCACGGCTATAACTGTCGGCGCCCAGGGTGCTAAACGATCGCCCTTGGGTATCACGCTGTTGGCGTCCAGAACATTGCCGACAAACTTCCATGGGCCAGCCATACTGGGGGCAGTATGAATGAGCATGTGCTCGCCGACATTGTAAAGATAATACTCGTCACCCACACGGAGAATAGTCGGATCGTGGGTATTTTGATGTGTCTGACGGGTGGGTGGGAAATGACTGGTTTCTTGGTCGTTTCCAATATCTTGCAGCTTGCGACCAGTAGCGAAGTTTTGGTCTCTCTGCGAGATGCTCAGACCGAGGCCGGCAGAGAAAAACCCTACTAGGGTGAGTAGTGAAAGCATCTTGATCCAGCGTCGGGTTATTCGTTGATGCCACAGATATCGCCAAGACCACCGTTGAAAATTGTCGGAGCCAGCAGGCGGCATTGCCAGCCTTGATAAGTGGCCGGTCCTGGCGATCATCCTTGTGAGGGATCTAGGCGTCTCATCGTTTTCGGTCGACGCACGGCGTTGCCACCCTGGTTGGGTGGAGTTGGCGATGCGGGACACGCCGAGGGGTGGAGAGGGGGTAGACAAGGATGCAACAAGGTCTACTGGCTTGCCACGATCCACAGAAGCATGCCTGCACGGCGTGGAATGCTCACAGAGGACGGATAACTGCAGGATGCACTGCTGGATGGGTTGTCCCCTTGGCGCACCTCAACGCGGAAGAGCTCGAATATCTACCGCATAGTGGTAGAGTTGGGCAAATTGACACCGAGACAGTCACACAAATTGACAGGGGCTGCACCGATTGGTTTGACACAAAGCAAGGGATGTCAAGTTTGGCGAGAGAGTGTAAGTCGGTAGGTCGGTTGCAGTTCCTGTCGATCATGAGCACACGGGCCAATTGGGGTGGAATGTGAGGCTAGGCCCTTCTCGTCTTAAATGAGGCCCGGGAACAATTGCTGCGCTCGGCCAAGAGGCTCTGATCTTCCAGTTCCGAGATGAAGAGTTGGCACGAGCGCAGGTAAGACATGTAGGCTGTGCGCATACGCCTACGGTCGATTTCGTTCACAACCACCCTGACTCGGAGTGCTTTGATTCCACATATTGAACTACAGAGTAAAAATTAAAAGGTACTCCCCCCCCATAAAACGCCCGGGAAATATCTGGGATGCTCTAGCGAGCCACGATCTTGTCCACCTCATCCTTGGCTTCAGTCCATGTCTCCAAATTCTTTCGTGCCCAATCTAAGTGGCAGCGAGCGTATGCGACCTGATTCTCATTAGTCTCGGAACCCGTGAGAGAAGGGTTGTGCATACCATGTATCGCCGGAGATCGGCCTCTTTGTCCTTCTGGAAGCGTTTGAGATCTTGTAGCACACCCGAACTAGCGTCCTTGACGTCCTTTTCAGAAACCTCGAGTGCTTGCTCCAACTAAATCCACTTGATTAGTCCGGGAAATCCCCCACAACTCCACAATCCACATACCTGAAGCAGACTCTCTTTGGTCTTTCCGATCTGGTCACGACGCGTGCGTTCTGGATCAACATCTGCAAATCCATGGATTGCATGGCTGATGCGACCGAATATTTTGTTTGCCACAAAAGTCCCACTGGACGTCTTGCGGTGGGCGGGGGATGCTGAAGCCGACGGGTCAGATCTTTTGGATCCTCCGATTTGCGATGCAGGCGGAGAACTGTATGAATCATCGTGGGTAGGTGGGAATTCAGAGTCTGCTGCAATGTTGGAACCAGCCCCTTCACTGCTAACGGCAGATGATGTTGACAGAGAACGAGGCTTTGTGCCGCCCGACTGAGGACCCGTGCGGTTGAGGTACTGTTCGATCCGCTTGGCTTCGAGCTCACTGCGCTCGAGGGAGTCCAATAATGTCTTCTTCTTTGACAGCTCATCGCGAGTCATCTCCTGCTGCACCCGCTTGAGCACTCGGTATCGTAAAACTCCACGCACCACGCTAGCAAATTGCGCACTCTCTCGCATGGGCTCGGCAAAGCTTGCGCTAAGAGCTGAAGACAGCTCCTCGGTCTCGATATAGGAGGTATCGGCGGCTTGTCCAATTCGCTCGATGGCGGCCGCTACTGTAGGGGATTGTTCCGAGAGGGAGAATCCATTGTAGCGCGCGCCCAATTCCATAAGATCAGCTGACAGGGAAGACAGATGAGAAAGTGTTCGTCGATTGACTTTCTCGATATTGCCCTGCAAAAGCAATTCCAGCTCTCGCGTAGATGCTTCGAAGTTGATAAAATAGGGGTCCAGCTCTTGCTCGCTGAGCTTGCGTGTCTCGGGTGGAAAACGTCCAAGAATCTCGGGACCAGGGAACGATTGAGGCTCGGCTTCGGTGGGCGACGTCGGGGATGCCGCACCTCCGGATAATGTGGTTACCGTGCCACTGGGCTTGAGCTTCGCAGAAGCTGACGGAATTGGAAGCCAGCCATGGCCAGGTGTGGGGTTTGCGGGGTCAAGAGGGGGTGCCTTAAGATTGTTTTTGGGAACCGAGGATGCTGGGTGTGAGCTCAAGACTTCGCTCTGTGTATTTGTCAGTGGCTTTGCAAACCAGCGTCTTCAGCTTCAACGTACCCAGCTAACGTTCGGATCAAGGAACCTCCACCACACTCCATCTTCGCGGACCTCCTTCATGCGCCTGCAGCGGTTCAAAAAGACACTCAGCATCCGTTTCCGGAGATCTATAATAGCCGTATCTTCTTTGGCCTTGGTAGGCTTAGCCGCGTAATCCGCCATACTGTGCTTCTCGGGAATTGGCGGAATAATGAGGGTAGGGTGTAAATTGACGAGTGTCTGTCGCAAAGATGCGAATTCGGAGTATCGCCGGCGCACTTCCAAGTCCTATCTTCACTTAGCACTGTGGTCTTCTTTGTCCGGAGTTATCATCATACCGCAGTCCGGATAGTGTAAACAATGAAACCTCCACCACCTTCATGATTCTTGCCTGCATCGGTGATCAATATTGGCATCTCCGGGTTTTCGTAGAGAATCTGTTCAATTCGGCTGTCGTAGACACTTTTCCGGGGATATTGTTGACTTGCAGCGCCATATTCCGCCTCATCCTCAGGGTCGCTCAGGTCGTCAGGGTGGGTGATATAGTCAGGAGGCTCGCTGCTTGACCCCCGGCTGGAAGGAGGGGTCGACTCTTGTCCGTACAGCTCTAGCTGGAGTTAGAGATGGGGCCAAAGGCAGAAACATTAGGAACCGGAGAACATACGAGGGGAAAGTGCGGCTGAATGTAAAGAGTCAGATAGGTGAGACTGATGCTGATCAAAGGCCCCATAGGGATTGTTATCTTCATCGTTCCACATAGTGAGGGTATGAAAGCTCGAGCAAGTCGACCGACGCTGTAAACTAAGGTTGGAGAAGCTGTGCCTGGGGATCTGCGGGGGGAAGTCGTGGTGTGGCTGGTGCAGGGCGGTGTTGTCGATTACGTCATGAACGAGGCTTGACTCTATACAACTTGGAGGTCGATGGGAATGAGTTAAGTATATGACTCTGCACTTGATTATAGGCTCATTTATTCTCTCTGGATTGGATATTTGAACCTGTCTATGGTCTGAGTACTATCACCTTCCAGGGGGATGCTAATCATAATGAGTAGTCCGGCATCATCCAAGCTGATAGCAGCTATGGATATTTAATTTTCCCAGTTAATTTCTTGAGAAGCAAACGGTTCTCTCTCGAGAAATACCAGGTTTTTTTGAAGGTAAGCATACTCGAGGCGTTTACGAGCTGGGTAGCACGTCTTGTATAAAGCATAGCGTGGGAAATATCGACCACCTATCCCCTATGGTGTACATGTCAAAACCCAAACTAGCAAAGATACACATAATTTCGGCAGGGAAACGGTAATTTATATACTTAACGTGAGGCTTGGAGAGAGAGAGAAAGCCCTGGAAAGGGGATAAATGAATATGTGTTGATATTAATGCCCTAGGTAAAGATATCAATAGGCGTGAAACATTTGTTATTTCCCCCAGTGATTACGGTGCAATATTTTTGCCTGCCATATGAACCTATGGCGGGATGATCCAGATGGCCTGCCGTCATAATGGGTCTTTTTGAGATAAATTTTTGGATTTCTGGCCGAGGCTAGTAATTCACCAGAACAAAAACTAGAGATATCTGACACAGCCCGACGCTCCTCCTCACTCATATCGGCCATGCGCTATTCAGTGCGAACCTTGGAACCGCCAAACAGCAACCATCCTTATCAGAACGCCTCAGGTTTCATGATAGGATCTCACCGCGTTGCTGCAATAATAATCCCCCCACCTATGCTCAGATCCGCTAAGAGACGACTCAATGCTTGCGATGTACGTCAAAGGTCCTCCTCATCAGATCCATTTTGGGCTGCATCACCAGGAGACGTCTCGGATTCCTTTGCAGCTCGAGCCGTCCTCAGTCTCTGTGCGTTTTGCATAGCCGCAAATTCGGGCTCCATTCCCCCAAAAGAGCTCTGTGAGCGTGACAGGGGTGGTCGGTTCAGGCCAGATGGTGAGTTGGGGGAATGTGGAACAGACAGTGGGTGGATATGGCGGTCAGGCTCGTCAGTGAATTGAGCAGGGGCAAAGCCAGAAAAGCCGTATCCGTATCCAAAGAAACCAGGATCACCGGGAGAAATCTCTCCATCATCGGGAGGAAGTTGAAACCGACGAGGGCCAGGACGAGGAAGGTTGAGTTGAGCATGGCGACGTGTGCGCTCGTGTAGCGGGACTCCGGTTTCGACGAAGCCAGAGGTAGAGGTGATGGCGACAGAGTCAATATCATCGGTCTGGAGGTTGAGTCGAGAGGGGTGTTCTCTCCACAGACCATCGCTGTCGGGACCCGTGGTCAAATTGGGAGACTCAGCGGGCATGACTTCAAATTGGGAGTCACTTGTGCGGCGAAGTGTAGTCGTCGTAGTAGTAGTCGTGGTGGTGGTGGTATTGGTAGTGATGTTTTGAGTAGAGTGCAGGCTGGGACCAATGTCTAGGACGCTGATCTCACTCTCACTGAGAGTTGCGGAGCGAGTTCGGACTGTGGATGAGGCGCCATGAGCGGGCTCTTCATTGCGAGGAATGCCGTTGGGGACTTGACCTGAGACACCATTTGGGAGGGGCTCCCGAGAACGCTGTGGTCGGCGTGCCATGGCGTATGCTATTTTGAGTCGCAATAACTCTAATCTGAGCAGGTCCAGTTGTTCGCTGTCGTCTCGAAACTCTAGTCTTCTTGTGGTGAATTGAGAATTGAGATGGTGAATGAGCCGTTTTGCAATCTTGCACTTAACATCAATGGTACGCGAGGTCTTTTTGACACCGATGTCGAATTGGGTCCGTAAACGACCATGCGAGGAAGGTGGAGTGTGTGGCATTATGCCCCGGTGCGTTTAGATCTCAAAGCGGCAGGTGGAGAATGTGGAGGAAGGCGTGGAGAGAGACGTGAAGGACGGGGCGATGGGTCCAAGTATCAGTTTCCACGCAATAGGAATGGAACCACGCACTCAGCCCTACATTGCGCACTTGCCCTTCTATTCTGCAGCAACCCATTGTTTACACCGAAGTACTATGAGTTGCTCGACTATCATGAAATTCACCTGAAAGACAGAGCTGAGCTACTTGTCGAGTGCAGCATTTGAATGATCGCCTGGGCATCAATCAAGCGTTGAATCTACGAATAAGACACAGGTTTGTAAATTCATTGATGCGTTCAATCACATAAACCCCTGTTAGCAAGAGTTAGACGCCTTAAGATACATCGTAGTATGAAAAGACTAGGTCATATTCATAGGGGAATCGTGAAAATCTCGTCAGAAACCGAATTAAAAACCCACCACATGCGAAAAGACAGCATTCTCTCTTTCTTTTGTATGTACCGATCATCCCCGTGGAAAACGCCGGATAAGTCATGTCTTTGCCCGAAGATCGTTCCTTTTATGTTTCGTTTTTTTTTTTTTTTTTTTTTTTTTTTTTTTTTTTTTTTTTTTTTTTTCCCTTTTTTTTTCTTTTTTTCTTTTTTTTTTTTTTTTTTTATTTTTTTTTTTTTAACTTTTCTTTTCTTT